GGGAGGCGGGGCACCCAGAGCAAGCGAGGCCCTTCCCCAGGCGGCGAGCCAGGCAGGAGGCAAGCAGAGAGGGGAGCTGAAGCGGAGCTGGCCTCGTTCCCGGGCGCCACGGAGGAGCACGGGGTCCCCGGAGGAGACGGGGCGGTTGCGGGCTCTGCTGAGAACCAGTGTGACCGCGGCCGAGGCCGGCCTCTCTGGGCGGAGGCTCCACTCCCGTCCGTGCAACGGGGAGATGGCACGGAGGGGACCAGCGACGGCGCCTTATACACGGTGGTGTCGTCGCTAACGATGATGATGAATAGTGCAGTAAAATCACACTAGCCCAGATCGTCAGGCCCCCATCTGACGACTGGATCCAAGTTGTCACCGGGGTGGGGGAATCCCCTCCATTTAAACGGAGGCTTCCGGCAGGGTTGAAGTGAGCTCCGTGAACTCAGACCAGCTCAAGGTCTTGGAAACACGGCCCCGCTATCACCGGGGAACCCCCTTCTCCTCAATCCAGGAAGGGCAAACTTCACCCCCAAGCCAAACAAATCATTACAAACCTTAAAGTGGTGACATTTGAATTAATGGATTTTACTCTAATTATCATTATGATGCCATGCTGAGACTAGCCAAGTGGAAGGGCAATGGGAAGGGGGGTCGTATTAGGAGGGACCAGCTCTGTGCGGGCTCCAGGCCCCTGGGCACCCCTGTACGGCTGTGAGGCAAGGAGACTGGCAGACAGAACATCCTCACTTGGCCTCAGAGGAGAACCAGACCTCACCCAGGGTCACACTGTTTCCTTCAAGAGAAGGATCCTGGCATCGAACTTCCTAGTCCCTTGCTCTCCACCCTGCCCTGGACCTCATCACCTTCCCTGCCCTCGGCGCAAGAGAGGGGGCCGGGGCAGCTTCCACTGCATATATACGTACACCCACAGTTGTATATAAGACCTGGAACTTTCTCGTGAGCAGGAAGTTGTGTCTGCCCACACACAATACATAGTTTGTGCACAGGATCCGATAATACCTCCACACGTGCTGCAAACATCTCAGATATGTGTGCGCGTGCACTTCCAAATCTGTTCTCTTCCACGTGACCCAACACACGTGTAACTTCACATACAAACACACTCACAAACGCTTTCGAAACACACAGTTGTGCGTCTGTCTGTATCGTAGACCCAATGGTTAGTTATGTGGCAGCTTCGACTTCTAAAATAGTCAAAAAGATGGAAAAAAAAAAAACCAGGCAAGGGCTATTTCAGGAAAGCCAAATTGATGTTCCAACGTGCATGCAGTGAGGCTCTTACACTTATTCATAGATGAGCTCCTTGGAATCCAGTTACTTTCATTTCTATACAATTCTTTTTTTTTTTTTAATGTTTAAAAATGTTTTACTTATTGTTGAGACAGAGAGAGACAGAGCATGAGCAGGGGAGGGGCAGAGAGAGAGGGAGACACAGAATCCGAAGCAGGCTCCGGGCTCTGAGCTGTCAGCACAGAGCCTGACGTGGGGCTCAAAGCCACGAACCGCGAGATCATGACCTGAGCTGAAGTTGGACGCTTAACCGACTGAGCCACCCAGGCGCCCCAATTTCTATACCATTCTAATAGGTGTTGACCTGCTGGGTTACTACCCCATGGGAGATCAGAAGCAGGGAAATTAGGGGAGAGAAAGGAATCAAGAGACCTACTGACAGCTAGAAGAAGACACAACTGAGGAGGAAAAAGTCTTTTGCAAAATTAGATACAAAACCTTTAAAAGTGTAACAGTTTGGGAACATTTAGCATTGCTACAGTCTGTACCAACTATAGCCTCTAAGGGCATTCCCTTCAACAGATCCACAAAATAAGGATATTTACAATGATACTAAATTAGCAAGAGCAAGCAAAATGGGTTATGTTAAATATAACTTCCTTAGGAAGGCAGAAAAGTACAAAATACATATCAGGAATGTACGCGCTGCAATAGTTAAAATTCACATATGTAGCAGCTATGGATTGGACAGATGTGATACTGTTACTGTGTGTCCACAAGTACTACCCCATCTGCATGCATAAATAATTGGTCACGGGGTGCCTGGGAGGCTCGGTCGGTTGAGCGTCCGACTCTTGATTTCGGCTCAGGTCACGATCTCATGGGGATCAAGCCCCATGCTGGGCTCCGAGCTGACATCACGGAATGTGCTTGGGATTCCCTCTCTCCCTCTCTCTCTGCCCTTCCCTGCTCACACGCTCTCTCTTTCACAAACAAATGTCACACGTGCTCTCTCCCACCCTGCACACAAAGATACATCAGTACTGCCACGTGTACATATATACGACATACACACAAGTGCGTTTTATCATTCCCGATACTGCAAAAAAAAAAAGCGCCAATCGCACACAAACACGTACGTTCGTAAACACCACCTCCATCCTTATATTGTACGCTCACCTACGCATATGTAACTCCGACGGTGTACCGAATGCCACCTGTACTCATAAATAATGGTCTCCACACCATATCCGTAGACATCTTGCACACGTATACACTCACGCCTCACACCCGAATACACACAGATACGTGCGCCTCTGCAAACACCACCCGAATACAGACACCGCACGGGACATCGTGCCACACACGCATATTAAAAATTGTCACGTCTTCCCATATACACCATTCTTGAGTCTGCACACAGCGGGCACACTGACAAGCGCTCCAGCGCTCGTTACTGACCACACGCCCACGCTCAGGCACCACGCCTCCATCCTGTGCACGCCGCCCTGCTATTATGGCCCCGGGCCCAGCCCTCAGGTCCCGGGCTTGGACCTATGCCCGCACGGCATGTGCCCAGGGACAGTCCTCGCTGTCCCTGGCAGAGCAGCAGCTCTGGGAATCTGGGCCACGAGCCAAGGGGCAGGGGGGACAGTGGGCTTAGTCTGAGGTCTGGCCCCGCTGTGCCATTTTTTAAATAGTTGGGGTTTTGGCAAAAGCGAAGTGATAGTTTGCTTTCAGCGCGTAGACCCTGAAATGTAAGCCGGTGTCTATCAAGAGGGAAATCTGATAGGCTGGGGTGGGTTCTGTTTTCATGGAACCTTTGGCTGGGAGACTACAGCCGAGAGAGCCAGGGGCTGCGGCGAAGGCAGAGGGAAGTTTTAAAAACAGTGTTGTATGCTCTAACCCTCGAAACAGGAAGTTGCCTTCTGCCCAGAGCATGGGGAATTTGATCTTTGGAAGATTCAAGTTCACTTTACGGCTAAACTACAGAGAGGTTAGCTAGAGGCCTCCGTGCAGCCAAACTGGTTTTGCCGCCCTTGGCTGCGGGATGGGGCTGTCTGAAGCCCGTCTCTTTCTCGTGTCCTCGACTCCAGCCCAACTGACAGCTTCTTTCTGAAATACCGCCCCCCCCCCCACCCCGGGCAGGGGGGGGTCTTCCTCGGCCACCCATCTAATGTCCCCTAGACTCTAACTGCCAGTAGGTTCTTCCTAAGGCGTACTCAAATCCCCCTTGTGGTAGCCGAAAACCCTCTGGTTTCTAAAAATATCCATATTTAAAATAGTTGGAAAAACCACAAACAGACCCTACTTCTCCTTCAGCTATTGCTATTTCAATGAGCCACGACCACCGTCACCAACGCCACCACGACGACACCTGGCTAGCATTTATTGAGCACCGACGAAGGGCCAGGCACCGCGCTAGGTGCTGAGCATTTATCGTTGACATTCCTTGCACCACCAGACAGGTATTTTGACTTGGATTTTACAGAGGAGATGGAGCCTCAGAAAGCCAGAATTCAAACCCCTCTTAATCACCAGCACGAAACGCCATGCCTTCCACCGGGCTCCTGGCCACAGGCCTGACCTCGCCCAGGCTACCGTCCCTGTGGCCAGCACCCCTGTCTCTGCCTCTGCCTCTTCCTCGACCAAAGCCCTTGTAACCCTGGCATCCTTCCTGGGCCTCCCTCTGGACTGGCCCTCAAAGTTCTTCGTCTCTGTCCTCACCACCTTTTGTCTTGAGGAGGAGGACGCGCTCCGTCCCCCCCAGGCTTCATGACATAATCGCTGTCTTGGAGCCTCGTCCGTTCTTCCTGATTCCATTCTCACCTTCTCTGGGGCCATATCTCAGGCTGGCTCCGGCCTCACCGTGTCCACCTGGAACCCTCTTGCTTTCGGGTCAGTGTGAAGTCCACTTGTCATGCTCATCTTTAATGAGCAGAAAAGTGGGTTCGGGTCAGGAGCCAGGCTGGTGACTGTATCACTCTCAACTCTGCGGCCACCTAGAGCGTCTCCACCTTCCCATGTGCACGCGGCAGGAAAGGGCCATGAAAGGAGGCCCTGATGCCTGGCCCTCACTCCATGCCTATCACTCCCAACCAGACTCAGTTATCACCTTTTGGCTGTGCCTTTCCTCGAGCTGTCCAGGGGGTGGGGGGGGGGGG